GTTTTCCTTAACAATACATATAAAGACCATTGGTAGGTACAGTCACACATACTCAACCATAATTCTAGTTAAGGGATCCACTGAAAGGTGACCAATTTCTCGAAAGTACACAAGACCGATTCGATTTATAGATATGGCGTACCAATCGTAAGGTCCCTAAAGGGTGTATTGGCAAGATTCATATAAGTAACAATTTAACATTGATTCAGTTCGCAAGTTCACCTCAATTTCCAGTGGCGCGCAGTTCTGTATTCCAGAGGAATATGCGGTTGACTAATTCTGGTGTACTTATGAATCGCAACAGGGACAAGACTGCCAAGCGTCTAGAGACCTAATGAGTAGCACATTTTGTCAACGAAGTTTAATTCAATGTCACAAACATCGTCTCAATTGAGATATGTGACAGATGTTGTATAGCAAAATCATTTGGCGAACATCATAGATGAGGGATTTAATCGAGCCTTGACTATCGTCAACGTGATTTCTCAATGAGTGGATTCCACTAAGAGCGAATTTCACTTTATAGTTCCGTCGTAGAAATGTAGCAATGCGCTGTTTCCAAGAGTCTGGGCGTTGAAAGTCATGAGTTATTTTAAAGAATTCCATCAATTTTTGGCGTCATGGTGCCCGAGAAAAAAAGGGATCACGTATACTCACCTGTACTTCTAGCCAAAGGTGAGCATTTTCGGTCACGTAAAATAATTCGCGGTAAGTTGAAATTCGTCTGCATGCAACCTGTTTTGGGCTCACGTGAAAAATTGCTCAATCGATACCATGTTAGTTTGAATCCGTCAGAACTGTTGGACACAATCAGGATTGCTAGGCACTTTGCTTCCGTGGAAACTTCCAAAAGGTTTACGGAACGTGCAGGCAGCGCCTAACCCACGCACGTCCGGCTACAAGTTTTTCTGCCATTCGGTTATCCGGGCAGACTAGCTGGATATCCATTTTTCGTAAATACGGTTAGATGAACACCAAGGTCTTGCGGCTGGGTGCCGGCGATGAATTTATTCAAAATGGTTAACCCTCCCACTAGGAACACAAGATTCAGCAGATGCGTGAAAATTGTTTGAAACTTTCCAGTAAAAACCGCTCATCTTATCTATCAAAGCTTTCTTTAATCTCGAGTTAGCTGCATATCTTTGATATCGAATTTCGGTTGGATGAACACCTGCCTTTAAGGTAAATAGCTTGAGGTTTTGCTCTGGACATCACATGATCACCTCCTGTTTTTTACACCCAATGATACCCAAACCCGATAGAAAGTTACATTTTAAACGCGTTACTCCATCGTTTCTCTGTCTCTGATGTCCACAACAAAGAAATTGAAATCTGCCATTGTTTCAGTCGCGGTCAACTTCCAAAATTATTGCCACACCAAGATCAAAACAACCAACATTAATAATTGAAATCGCCATTGTTTCAGTCGCGGTCAACTTCCAAAATTATTGCCACACCAAGATCAAAACAACCAACATTAATGTATTGCGATAAATTTAATAACAGTTTTTTGTAACTTAATGTTCGTAACTACGATTGATACTTAACTACATTTAATTTACACGTCTTGTTGTATTGTTATCCAATTTCTATCAATACAGCACTCAAAGTTCGGTTTCAGGTCCTACCTCTTAAGTTCACTTTGTTGATAGGACACGTGTTTAACTTCCTTGAAATTTTCGCGTGCGATGGCCACATTCATTGTTTCGTCTTGGTTTTAACCGTTTTGCTGTCTCGAATTCCCGCGTAGGACTCATCTGGGTGAAATAGGGTCATGGTCAAACTCATTGTTTCACTTGCCGTCATTTTTTCCATACCGAGACTTATTCAGGAAACTCTCGTCCAATGTTACTAGCATTCTGTGATCGCCTGAACTTGAGTATTCTTCCGGCACAGCATTCGTAATATAGAGAAGCGCCGTAGTTGTCATGGAATCAGGGATCCTCAACTAAAGACGACTTAGTCCCACACTGATTTTGTCTCTCAGCCACGGTCGACAGACTGTCCCCAGTCCCTGTGTGCAACGAAAAGTCGTCGAAGCAACATCTATGTGCGTTTTCAATCATTGAAAAGCAGCTAGATGGCTCTTTTTCTGGGTTTTTCTGTGAGTTTCACTTTGGAAATGGGGACGTTCAGTCATCACTTGGGTACACTACATGCTCCACAGTGGAAGTAATCCACTTCCTATTTGGCGCGTCAGAAGTCTGCAGATATCGTTTTCATGAATGTTACCTCAAATATTGCTGTAGAAATATTGGAGGCCAAACCATTCAGAGGCTCACAGGATAAAAAAATTATCCTCTATATATTAAAAAACTACTTTTGGCTGATGAAAGTTTATTTGTGTTTCCCAGACAAGGAAAATGAACAGACGCACTTTCATTTCTAGCCTAGTCTCGCTAGGGGACTTTGCCACGTGGCGATTAACTAACCTTAGCAAACATGGCGTTTTACAACACATGAGCCTATGAAAAGTCCAAAACGTCAAACTTGGCTAGCGTATTTTATATTCTTCCTTGGGTTCGCTCTGCGTTCTGGATTCGGGACATTCACAAATACGGTAGTAATTTGCATTCACGAAAGACATTAACGCGTCCGAGCTAAAATGTGAGTTCAAGGAAGCGCCCATATATAAAGCAGTTACTCCTTTGCAAGCCATGACACTCCGATGAAGCATTTCATACTTTTGACATGCGGTCTAATCGTCTATGCGTCGTTAGTCACAGAGAGTTTCAACTTTAGAGACTGTGGTAAGCTTTTTCAGCGACAATTCTCACTATATCGATACAATCAAGTTAATTTAACGTGGCACCTTATATGGCATACAAGATGCGGCATTTCGCATTGTTACGAGACTCGTAACGCTGCACCTGGTCCATTAGTTTTGATTTGTTCAGGCCCCATAGATAGTGTTTTACCGTACGCAAGTCGTACTGTGTTTCAGTTGATCACGGATTCCCATATGGACGAGCTGCCAGTAAATACGTTTGCCAGGTCAAATGATTTATTCTTCCTAGAATCCATTCCTGATTTCGAGAACTGAGATACTGCTGGAGACGTAGGTTCCCTTATTTGTAGTACTTCCATCCATGTCAGTGAAAGGTGCGTGCTTTTCAAGGTGGCCTTTTCAGGGGCACCTTCAGACGGAAATTTTCCCAGAAAGCTCTCATCCAAAGGGCGATCTTCGAAGCCATTGGATGTTTTTACTTTTTGAAGCATTAGCGCGACTGTTTTGACATATCACAAGAGTCCGACATTTGGATGTTCAAACGTAAGGTACATTCTTCTGGCGGCAAAATGATACCGGTTCCTCGGATGACGCCTTCATATGGAGTCGTTAATTTCTTCCTTGCGAAGCATCGTTTTGTCACCATCAGGATAAGAGGAAGGCTCTTCCAGCGAGCGATCTGGATAGTCGTAATAGGTATTTCATTATTTTCCACTTTGTGTAAGCCACAATGTTCACTAATAGCAGCGTCTCGTAACTGAATTTTCGAAGCCTTTAAGAAGACAATTTAATAAATGAAGAAAAAACAGTAATCGATGGCTGACCGATTGCAGTCACTCTGAATCTGTGCTACGTACTCAACAAGATCCTCTTGGCAACTCCATCGTCACGAGAAACGACTGATGGCCTACGACGAGATTTTACGGATCTTCATCTCAGCGAACACGTTCGTGCACACCACTCACAAATGCATCAACTAATGGTTCCGCATTTTTTCAAGCATTTGTTGCCCTGCAACCCAAGGAATATGGCGCAACGCTCCTCTTGGTAGGTATGTTTTTCGAATACGAAGCAATGGCAGTTGATGTTCCTGGCTGCTTTTTCAGACCAAACTTCTAGTTGTACAAATGGGTATCAATGTTTGTGCTAACTCTACAAGGGTTTGCTGATATCATCCAATTTACCCACCGGTTGTCGTATGCCGGCGCTCTGGAACTCCTTCACTGGAAACGCACAAGCTTCAACAGCAAGCATCTAACCGATCAAAATTCATCGTTTTATTTTGAATGAAGGGAAACCAGACAAATTTACACTACTTCACCGCCAAATATTTGTTCGTTCCCCACAATAAACCTTCTAAAGAAGCCAGATTATCGGCGTAAAGTTGTTTCATGTCTGTTTGATTCTCTCAGATACAGACTGTGCTCTTGATGTAATTAATTTTGTCAACTTGCTTTATCGGATTCTAAGCCCATGAACCGACTTAGATAACCATGCTTATAAGGAGCAAACTTCTTCCCGGGTGTCATTTGTTTCCCATGAAATCTTTGCCTGCAAGCTGGTCGCTAACACTGGAACTCCTGCCAAGTTGAAAGTCCACTAGCTGGCAGTTTGGGTGGTCTGGATGATATAAGTAAACCTTCATAAATTTGCAATGCAAAATCCTGATCATTCGTTTATCTATTCAAATTGATTGTAAAGGCTCCAGAGACGTTAGCGTGATAGCAGTGAGGATTCTTCCATGCGACACTGAACCTTGCGTCCTTGTGAGGGGGAAAACAGTCCGTGTTGAACTAGAGTTCCTGGCACGTAAGTATTCATTTGATTCAGTTGTTGTATTGACGTGTGCATTCGATTTCGACAGATCGTGAATTCACCATCCGTTATAATCACTTTTCAATGCGCCACTTCCATGGTGGCAAGTCGATTCACGTAGTCTATGGAATAGATGGAATTTGTCCAGAACTCATCAGGATAAGCGTGTAGCTTATTTTAGTGGTTAGGGTTGTGTCCGACCCCAGTGGATTCTGTTTTTCTTTAGTGAATTATGAATGACAAACGACACTTCTAACAAAAACAGGCTCCAAAAACACATTTCTGCCGAAAAGTAGACAGTCATTTTTCTCTTTTTTCTAAATTGTTTACTCGGAACCTCTTATTGCTTTCTATCGATAGTGATGTTCTAGACTGAAGTATGTTATTTTTGGTTGCTTCTTGGCCATAACTTGCCCTTTTTGCTTTTCGTTTACGTATGCGTACCCCTCTTGAACAGTCAATCACGTCGGTGCCGAAATTTCCGAAATCCGAGGTTCGTCCGGCCACGGGATACCGGTGCTGCGATTCCCGGAAGGAGGTATATGTGCTCGCTTGACTCCATCCTGCCCCATTGAAAAAAAGAAATTCTACCGTTTATGTTACAGTCCCAAGGTAAACGAGAATACTAGACCCGTAAGTCGTGGGCAAGCCGAAGTATGCTGCAACACATAGATGAATCTCATGTTTACCGTAGACAGGCTTCGAGAAATCCAAGGCTTTCGGTCCACCTAACCAAAACAGACCAAATAGTACAGTTTTCTGAGAAGCATGGCTTTGTTTGCTTTATGTAAAAAGATGTGCACCTGAAAAACGTGGCATCTCTGAGAGGAAATTCCTATTTTAAATGAGCATGCCTTACATCCGCATAAGGACTGCTTTATTTTTGGTTCCAAAATCTTGTTTTTGCGATAGTTTCTTTTACTACTGACATCCTTGAATGAGAGTAGTGTGTGGCATCCGAAGCTGATGCGCATGTCAATGTTGGCGATTAAAAATTGAGCTGAAGATACCTTTTTACGTATGTTGGGTGAAAATTATTGAAGCACACCTGGGCCATCAGGTTGAGATTTAGATTGGTTCGACGGAGGTTTCTCCAGAGCCATGTGATCATGTCTCTGCTCCATGTAGCGAGACCCCTTTGACAGTGCACTTGAGTTCTAAAATTAAGATGTATTGTGCCTCAGACTATTTCAGGTTTCCTGTCGAATGTCAGATTTTTTCAAAATATGGAGTCAAAATGACAATTCTTCAAAATTTCATGGAGGCCATCGAAACAATGTTCGGCCACCTCGAGGTTGAGCTGTCTCCTTCAGTCAAACGCGTACAAACTATTTCTGAATGGAATTGTTGGTCAACGGAGCTAGTCCTCATCACTCGATTCAGATGGCCTGGGCTAGCTCGATAACGTGAGTGTGCGGCATGCAAAAGGTTGATAACACGCCCTCAGGAACTAAATTGAGTGCGTTAAGTGACCTATTGTGCCGTCAGAATAGTATCTATGTTTCGCCGTCTTTCATAGGTAAGGACAAAACGGAAACTCTGTATATTGTGCCGCTGGAGTTTAGTGCAATTTGCGAGTTGTCACACTCGTCGCCGTTGACGAGGATGCTTTTCTTGGAGAACTGAGTATTTCTTCACTTGTAAAACCTCTGAACAGGGACCAGCAGAAGACCCTACAAGATATTGTCCTCAGCGTGCCTGTTGTTTTAGATGACAAAGGCCAAGTTTCATACAGGTATTTATACTTGGACTAAACTAAGATGCCGTTGGAAACATGTTGTGGCTCTTAATTGCAATCTCTCCTCTAACTGTGCGTCCACAAAAATGCACCACACGTAATTTTTTGGATGATGAGTCGTTCCGCGCTGAAAAGCTTCTAATAGGTTTTGAATTATTGGCACACCAGTTTCGAGGCATAAAGTGCGTTTGCACGATTTCCAACCAGATGTAAAGTGGAAAACGTTTGGGCTAGGTAGCACACTTCGTTTATACTGGGGTTAACAGTGAACTCGGCAACGACAGTCTTGCGGGTGCGAACTTCGTACAGCGCGGCAGCAATTCGTCGGTGGTGTCATTTTTTCGGGAAAATTTATCTTTTTGGAGAAAGATCCGCACCTTTCCCTATTTCTCGTGCTCAAGGCTTATGTGAATTATAAGTACGGAATCTTCGCTGCAAACCGAGCGCTGCAAACACTAACTCGATCCTACTATCTTTGTTTGAGAATCCATGTTGCTCCTAAAGTCCACTTCCCTCCAGGATATTTGGGTTTCATTGCAGTCCGGATAAGACTACATTCTGGTCGTCTGTTATCTTCTCTTAATTTCGAACAGTGCTTTGATTGTGGACTTCCTAAATAATTACGGGAAAAGTTGGGTCTACAGGTTGTGCCAATCAGACGAAAAACTTTATCTTTCAGTGATGACCAGGCAGGATTTCGGTCTAATCCGGCAGCTTTTCCGTTCTTTAGTTCAGTTGTTGCTCTTTGACTTTCGTAGTAATAAGTAGGTTGAGAACTTTCAACTTAATATACTTTCAGTCAACTGAATTTAGGTTGGATGGGTTCACTGAAAGCGTCCAGAAGAATGCATTCAGAGTAAACAATAAACGTTAACCCTAAACTGAGACAGACAATTGCTCTCTGTGTGAAGACTCGCTGCCCCCTCTCCCGTATCCGGGAAATAAAGTTCCAGCGAGTATAGCCTTCAAGACTACTTCAGCCCTAAGACCCAAATACCACTTCGAGGTGGCAGGTTGGAACGGGATAGGCGAATAGACCCACTGAAGTAACGTGATATTGGGCTGTAATTGAGTTGTAATTCTTCGTGTTTGTCTGTGACCAATATATACCGGCATACAATTTATATAGAGCGTCTTGTTTGATATCCGTCAATTTGTGACGGTCCTCCTCACTTGAATGCATATGTGTTCTCGTGACTCCGTGCAATTTAGTTCGTTTCTTCCTTCATGTCTAGCGAGATGCTCATTTAATCGGGCGTTTATAAGTTACAAGCACCGATAAGTACGTAGTTATTTTCTTGTTTATTCATGCCTATCAAAATATAACTTGTAAAATGTTCTCTTCACAGGGTCCTCAGACTGTCCGATTTGAGCTAGTGTACCGCGACGGTGCAAAGTTCATGTGTATCGAGATCCCCGTGCGAATTGCATGAGCCAAAAACACTTCTGTTTTCACGATACTGTCATAGAACACTTCAGTGAATTGTCGTCTTCATTCAACAGTATATTCTTCCAATGCTTTTGCAAATACATGAACCAAAGTGCCCACCACTTGTCCGTTTTTCCAGGCCTTATTTGGCCATGAATTGCAATGTATGCTGGTAGCGTACAGACGCCAAAGTATTACATTCTGCTTTGAGCTTATGGACAAAAATCCGCATAAAAAAAGGGCAGTGAATGCACATAACAGGCAGTGTGTGAGAAATATGCCTTCTGATATTTCGTTTTATCCGCTTTAGAGCTGTATGTATACCCAGTCTGCAAAGCCTCGTTTGAGGCAACCTGAATGTCTGGCCCAGTAAGCTACACGGTTCACATGTGGTGCACCGTCCTTTATCGGTTCACATTTGTCCGTGCAATCTGACTGCTTCTAATGGCGAAAGGGCGAAGGCCTTCGATACGGAGCTATTTATTAAGAAATGCCAACTGACCGGTTACAGACCATTAGACAGGGAAGCAAAACTCTCATTTGCATCTTATTTACAAAAACTGGA